GGTGAACTTGCGGGTTTTTTCGGCCACCCCTCCCCTCTGGGAGACAGCGTGGAATAACCCCAGAGAAGGGCGAGGAGAGGACGCATGCGCAAGGGGTGCTGTGCTGCCTGGGCGGTGAGGGGTGGTGGTGGATCTGGGCTGTAGTGTTGGGCCGCTCGGCCCGTGGGTGCCGCGGCGCCTCCAAGGGCTGGGGAGGGCGAATCGTTCCGGCGGGGACGACTGGAAGGGACAGACGGAAGCTGGGGCTGGCTCAGGGGCAGTTGGCCTTCCCCCCTCCCCGCCGTCCTCACCTCACGGACCGTCCGGTCCCGTGATGGCGGCGATCGCCCCGTGTCCCAGCCTGGAACAAAGACCCGCAGCGGGGACCGCAGACGCTGGTGTTCCCCCCTTTCGGTGCCCTATAAATTAGGGCAGAGTCTGGGGAGGAGGGGAAGTTGCCTTCTACAAGTGGAGGGGAGCTTACCTCCGCCCCCGTCGTCTGCCTTCAACTACTGCTTGGGTCTCCTATGCACAAGGAGGGGAATAGGAGTGGAGGTGCAGCTTCTCCTGTAATAAAATGGATTTATGGCTTGAGAACACGTGAACCAAGACAACAGAAAGGCACTCACTTTTCTTGTATTTTACAGGTTTAAAGGAAGGGAATGCTGAAGCATCTGGTACTGCTTATCATTACACACATCTCTGATCAGGTTGCTTATTCTCTTCCCAAGAATAACTGTAATTGTCAGGATTGAAAGGTGGAGAGGGATGTCCTGGATGAGGGCACAGAGCGGGAGGAATCCCGTCTGGTTATTCCCCTGCTTTGGTGGGTTTTGGCTGGGCAATGGCAGGCTGCCTGCCGCATTCCCAAGAGCCTGATCATCTCCCCGCAGAGCACGCCAGTGTTTACCAACTGCAGCAACAGCTTTCTGTAAACAGACGTAAGGGGTTGCCCTGGTTTAACATCTAAGAACTTCACCAATGTTCATATATAAAGCCCTGCAAGATTTGAGTGACAGGAATTATTTTTCTATAGGTGAGCAAAGCACAGAGAGTTTTAATAAGGTTCAATAGGAAGTTTGTAACAAACAAGTCATGAAGTCCAGTGCTCCCTCCCACGACTGCCACAAACCAGCCCTACTGCCATTTACTAATGCTAAAAATAATCACATCTAAAAGCCGCAATGCCACCAGTGATGAAAATGGGCCTGGTGGGAGACAACTGAATTAACTTGCTTAATTAATTTTTGGTCACGTGCATCTGTGGTGTTCACTGCCCAGTGAGCTTGAAAAAACAGATATGACATTTATCTGAATGTCAGCGATGAAAGAGCTCTAGACTAAGACTTTCTACGCTCCCCACAGAGAAAAACAAATCGAAGTTTTGTGACCTCTTATTTCACTATCAGCATGTAGGAAAGCAGATACAGTACCTGCAGCTACCAAGGTTTGATAAAATGTGCAGGGGCCAGAACTACCCACTGTATGTGTTTTATAGTCTGAACAAAATGGCTTGTTTGGTTCCTAACTTTGGCTGGTTTTTCTCCCTTCTCAGGCTCCTTTTACCTGATGAGAAACATCTTTACCCTTATATACCTCAATATCACAAGCTCAAGAGTTTGTGTCACTGAAGGTTGGTGGGTTTTCACGTTGAAGTTGACAACCATCAGCTCCAAGAGGGTCAGAGAATGTAATAAATACTCAAAATATCTTTTTCTGTTGAAACCCTCAACACTGATGGCAGTGTGACAAATCCTCTGAGGAATAAATGTCCAAGAAAAATTATGTCACTTGAGGGCTTTTTTCCCCTTCTGCGTTGTCTCTGCTGTTGGTTACTATTATCACTGCTACCTTAGAGCAAAACTGGGGTAAGGGTTTTAAACTAAAGGAGTATTGATTCAGACCAAATATAGGGAAGAATTTTTTTATAATGAGGGCGGTGAAGCACTGGAACAGGTTCCCCAGAGGGACTGGAGGTGCCCCATCCCTGGGAACACTGAAGGTCAGGTTGGGCAGGGCTCTGAACATTTCTGAATGAAGTGATTTGCAAGAAGAGATTTTGAGGAAGGGGCAAGTGGCTTGTGGAAAGAACCAGGAAACTGTTTTAAACACAGAAGTGTGAAAGACTTGTTTAATAAAAGTTTAAGCATGCTTGAACTGTGGCTCCCTGCAGGCCAGTCAGCAGCTTCACAAAGAGCTTATAGGATGGTAGTAAACTTCCCCACCTTCCACATGAAAGGCCTTGGTCTGCTTTCTCTAATATAAACAGACAGAATAAAAGCAACTGGTCTCATTGAGACAGTCCTCTCCTATGCATTACTTACCTAAGTAAAACCCAAACCACATAAAATAGTTCTTAATAGCATAATGTGCCATGGGAATGTGCTGAGGTAGAAACTGGTAGGGGAGGTTTAAGGATGGGATAGGATGGGATAGGATGGGATAGGATAGGATGCATCATTTCCACAGCTCTTGCACAGAACTAGAGGGCTCTTAGCATCATAAAGGTCTGATCTCATGTTTAAAAGTGTAAAGCCAGACACCATTCTGAAAAACATGGATTAAGACAGTCTCTGCTATAAAAAAAGGCTCCAAAAGACAAATTGATGCAGACATCAGGCGTTGGAAGCATTGCTAAATGGAGTTGTTTGCAAGAAGATATTTGGAGGAAGGAGCTAATGGCTAGTGAAAAAGAACCAGGGAACTGTAACAATGTGAAAGTCTTTAGCCATCCTTTTGTCTAAAACCAAATTCATGTGGGCTTGCTCCCATTCCTCAGACACATTCAGATGGCTGTGAGCCTCGGTGCTGCTGAAGGGAGTGGGTTTAACAGTGAAGAACAGCCCAAGAGCTCCCTCCCAGCTTCCTCCCTTTGGTCCGTGACTCAAGTCCTCAGGTCACAGCGTGAGAAAGTAAAGAGCCTGACCTATCTCCAGCCTTGTATTCCATTGCAGAACTATGAAGTGGTATTCCCCAAGGTTGCTGCCTCTTTTATATATACAGAATATTCTAACACAAAATACTCTGAATTATCTTCTTTAAGACAAAGAAGAAAATGTGCCTTGAAGATCAAGAAGGTGACAAAAGCCCTAAGCTGTGGCCTAATTCTTTCTCACTTTATGTCAGTGCCTTCCCCGAACTTCTGGGAACTTACTCCCTCTGCACCAGGAGAAGATGAAGGTGCTGCATTTTAGAACGGGGTTTCCTGTTTTGGCGGAGGAGCTCCAGATCTCCCCGAGGCCACAAGCATTTCATGGGTAGGAGGAAGAAAAGCGAGGCTGGTTATTTCTTCAGAAAAGCTGTTTGTTTTCTGTCTGTGCTCAAATTACCGTCAAAATCAGTCAGAAGCCAGGAGACAGCCAAAGTCCTTAGCCATGAGCATGGTTACACCCTTTGTCAACACTGACAATGGAGAGTGAATGGAGACTTAGCCATGCTGGAGGCTGTTGAAAACCTGATTTTCATTCATTCGGGTGACAGGCAGACGGCCTCAGCCTTTATGGATTAGTGTTCATGGCAAATGTTGTCAAAAGCCTGGCACGTTCACAAATTTTGGCACTGCTGAGTATATTACCATTAGCTTGTTGGAGTGCTGATGTGCACAGAGTAATAACCCTGTGCTCCACATCTGAGATTGGGAGAGTCTTTCGGATCAGAGGAGACTTTGGCCAGGGAAGGAGGAGGGAGAGCTTAGGGAGGAATGTTTATTCCTCCTTCACTGAAGAAAGAGGAAAATAAGCTCTTCAGCTGAATAGCAGCACTCTCCAGGAAGGGCTGGGCATAGCAGTAACTTCTGCTAGCAGTGGTAGTGCTAAAATACAGTGAGCATACACACAGCAGAGGGCAATCACATCTTCATTGTTGGAAAGATTCAACATCCCATCCAGAAAAGCTTGTCTGGACAGTGGTGGAGCATTGAAATGAGGCCTCGGTGTTAGCTGCTATTAAGGAGTCAATGGGGGGAGCTCAAGACCCACCAGGAATAATTTTTCTTTGAGATCTTGAATAAATAGTGAGAAGCCAATGTGCTCCTTTTTAAAGGGCATCAGAAACAAAGCTGTTAAAAAGAAATAATCAAAGTGGAAGAGTTAGGACCCGCGTCTGTTAATGATGCACACACGTATTTTTCCCATGCAAAACTCTTGCTTGTGAAGTCGTTAAAGACAGAGCAGGTGCTTTAAGTTCGCTCTCTTGGTTTTGCAAACCATCTGCTTGTTTGTGCCTGCAAATGAGAGATGGCTGTATATCTGGTTTTCTGCAGACGTGATGTTGGTGGCCCTTTGCTTCAAAACTTGTCCTTGGAAGTCTGCTGAATATGTCTCATCTAATCTTACCCATCACACTTTCAGTCTAAAGTGTGTGGTTAGTGTCCCTTGAACAAGGTTTGATTGTGATTAATATCGTTATTATAAAGTGCTAAGGTGAGCACGAGGTTTTCTGAATGCATCGTAATTAGACTGCCAGCACTTAGTCTCAGGGAGCATCTCCTCCCATAGGCGTAGGGCATAAGGTTTGTCAACGATATTATATATATTTTACAATAAGCAGTAGTACAAAGAGCGCCAGGTCTTCCTCCCCAGGTGACTGCAAAGCAACGGGGCTGTCAGGCTCCAAGGATTTGTGCAGACCAGAGTCTGCCTTTGCTCAGGTGAAGCTTTAATGAAGTCAGGGAGGCTCAGGCTGGATCTAAAGCTGCAGAATAACGGGCTCTGTGGTTCAACTGTGT